TCAAGATAGCACATTGTCTCCACGCTGCTGCCTCTCTCAACTGCCGCTGCAGTTCCTCATGAAGCTCTTCTGCTTGGAGGATCTCATAATCCTCCGGTGTGAGTTAAGTTTGTTGGCTGACTTGCAAGCCAACAATTTGGCTAACGGAAACCTGAGAGACACTCTGACTGATTCCTGACGAAGAGGCCTGAGAAGAGGCCTGAGAAGAGGCCTGTGACATGGTAGAAGAGGTAGCCATAGTCGCACCTGTGCTAGCTATACTCCTGGCTCTGGCGTTGGCCTCAATGTCCCTCGTCCTCTGCAATGCCACCCTCTCCCTAGCTTCTCTCTGCAGCCTCCTTTCCTCTCCTGGACCTAACTCTAGGAAGGTCAAAGGTTGACTGAGAGTAGTTCTACGAGTGACCCTAAGATCTTCTACCAACTCCTCCTCACTACTAGCAGCTTCACTCATGAGCCATAGTGGCGTGTGATCTAAACAAGAATTCACACTGAACCCTACCTTAGCGTGACACCCAACTGAATATGATATACGATTATTTTCGGTCGACCTGGAGAGAAACAGTTAAGTGGTGAGTAACGACTAATGTCAGAGCCTACAGGTAACACTAGTTCTATTTTTAGATTACTCTAATATAGATTGCAATGCAGCAAGGGAGTTTCTATCCTATCTGCAGTTGTCTGACAGCTGTCAGCAAGTCTGCACAACTAAATAATCAAAAATAAAACAGTTTACTTGTGGAGATGTATGCTGCATGGCAATTTATCTATTTAAGGACAGCCCCCCAGGTCCTCAGGAATTATTTAACGTCACAGACAGGACAACGATCACAGCCAGGGTTCAACACCGAGTCCCACCAGAAATATTTATAGACGGTCTGGTGAGCGTCTGTTCAAAGGGCTGGCATGCCCTGCATAACCTCTATTGTGCAGCAGCAAAACCAAGCACTTGCGGCAAAGCATGTGTGTAGTCCCAGCGGGTTGGCATGGTGAGAGTGACCCGAGTGCTTCGTCCAAGGCCCTTCAGAGGCATCGCCCGTCTCCCACCAGCTTGCTGCCCAGGAAGAATGTCGACTCTCAAGGTTGAGCGCTCGCGACACCTCACATCGAGAGGACTCTCAAGACAAAACTCACTTCCTCACGGCAAGAAGTAATGAAGAGGGTAGATAAGGAAGAGAGCAACGTACCTCGTAATGCTGCCCCCAACCACATATTTCTCACCGGCAACCTGATGTGCATTTATGATGACTGGTCTTTGCCTCGGCACAACCAACAGCAAAATGCAGTTCCACCTCGGCTTAAATGCCACATCAGCGAGCTCTCATCATCGAACGTACATCCCTAATGTCACCACATAGCTTCTTGGCGCGCCCACACGACCCTGGGCCGCCTATCACTCAACGCCCAAGCCTTATTACTGCCCCACACCTCATGCGAAGCACCAAACAGCTATTGCGAAGAGTCAATGAAGCGCAGTTCGAACCAGCTCCGATACCAAATTGCAAGGAAAATGAGCAATCGTGAGATGACAATGTCCAGAATGCACAATCACATTGAAGGCCAGATAGTATCACAATGTGCAGAAAGCAAAAATGCACCAATATAACACCAATGAAGAATCATAACACTGAAAACCAATGTCAATGACAGCTTGCTCTCGCCACCACCAACATGAGTGTCCAGGCCCTATCTCCCTACTGGCGCTCGGCGCCCAACCTACTTCCTACACAGCTACAGTCTGCCTACTAATTGAAAATGCAAGCTCGCGAAGTACTTGAAGATGTCGCCCAATGCAGACCATCGCCAATACCAGGTATGTGCCCTCACATCATCATCATCATCATCCTTCTCGCTCTCCCCTGACTTACTCCCGCGTCTTCCCTTTGTACACCCCAAGACCACCCCTGCGCCTCACTGAAGTCCAAGCCCATACAGCTATGGAGGCTGCGCTATGGCGCTGGCCTCAGCAGCGCCCTGCTTCCTGCACGACCGCACGCGCTAGCACCTTGCCTCTCAGCGCCAGCAGCAGCCTACGAGTGTCCGCTCCAGCAGCGCTGCCGCCAGCATGCAAGTGCTGAATATCCTTCCAGGCAGCGAGCTCTCTCCTATATGGAAAGAGCCTGCCTGCCTTCGCAGCCTGACTGCCGTGGGCCTCGGCCCAGAAGCTTCTGGTCGGCCCCAGGTGGCTGCGCCTCTGATGCAGCTACTGGGCCTCGTTCAGTTGGGTCTCCCAACTGTCTGTGTATGAGGCTGTGATTCTTGTCCAGGGCCTGCATCTTCGGAAAGGCCTGGAAGGCCATGGAAGGTCTTTGCTGCTCGGCCTGTGTTTTCCCTCAACCAACTGGCGCGTCACAACTGCCTGGACCCCAAATACGAAATTGACACTCGAGGGCCTCTCGTGATTTGTTAGGCCCGCCTTCACTTAGGGCGGGCACATCTGTAGCAGGGGCCCCTTAGGCCTGCCGAGGACCCAGATCCTTGCACTACCTACTGCGAGTCTAAACTATTATGGTACATCTACTCTAGTTGTATCCTAGTTCTCCTAACTCTCCAACCCTAGTCTAAATATAGTACAAATCTGCTGCTTTCATGAAAGTCCATCTTCCTAGTCCGATTCCTCTTCTGCGTCAGTTGCCAGCGCATGGCGCGTCAGCAGTGAGTGAAACACATTATGACCCGTCTGAAGATCCCGAGTGAGCAGCTGCGAGTACGGTTCCCATCTAGCCCAAAATCCTTTCTCCTTCTGTTCCCCTGCCCGCCTGCTTCGATACAGGTCAGCCAGTAGAGCAGTTCTAACATTCTCCAAAGCTCTTTGCTTGTAAACTGCAGCAGTGGAGATGTTCCCTGTCAACATCGCTCATTCCTCAGGGTCCACAGGGCCCACAATACCACCCCACGTATGGTCTCCACAGGCACCAGATCCTCCGGTCTCGATCTATCCACTTTCATCAAGGCTCCGAGGAGTATGGACGCATCGTCCTCTTCTGTGACATTCAGTGGGGAATGATCTGCCAATTCCTGTGCCCATACAGGCACGCACAGGGAAAAAAGTAAATGTGACTCGTCCTCCTCCTTCCTGTTGTCACACTCATCATCCTGTCCGTCGTGCTTGCAATCGTCCTGTCCGTCGTGCTTGCAATCGTCCTCCTGTGCAAAATGGAATGAATCTTCCGCTAGAACATGGGGAGATACACGGGCATTTCTTTTTCGCCTTTCCTCTATGCGGCTAGTCCTCCTCCTACTCGCCATCCTCCTCCCCATTGTACTCCCCCTCCTGACTACTCGTCTTCCCTCTCCCCATCGCACTCCTCCTCCTGCCACTCTTCCTCCTGTCCGTCGCTCCTCCTCCTGCCGCTCTTCCTCCTGTTCGCCGTTCACCTACTCCCACTAGTCGCCTTCCCCCTCCTTGCCCTGTTTGTCGTCATCTGAGCCAAAAAACAGAGTCAATTCACATTCTATACATTGAAAGTAGACGCAAAGTCAGTGGCTTGCCACTTTCGGTATGAACCCGACCGCACGCGGAACCTACAGCCCTATCGGACCCGAAACCCGCCTGCTGCGCAACAGAACATTCGGGACCCTTCGGCCTCCCCATCGTGTTGCATCGCAGTCCTCCCCAGGCGCATCGCCGTGCCAAACCTCGCACACGAGAAGGGAAAAAAAAAAAAGGGGAGGCACACGAGTAGAGGTTTCTGTTGGGCCCGGCCCCCCCTGTCCCAGACGTTTTCCCAACAATGTAAGTCGACGCTGGTGGGGGCGTTACGCGAGACCCGCCTTACACTTTAGTAAGAGTACAGATATGGATATAGGAAAAAAACTGAGCTGAGCTCATTTTATTAATACCAAACAGAAGTGCATCCAAGGGCATGCAAGAACACAGCAGCGCCATTGACTGAGCAAGGAACAACGAACAAATACCCACGTATCAACGATGAGAGGTTTCGACGTAACGGAATGGGAATGAAGGCAAGGCGAAGGAATGACAAAATTCGGAGCTAGAAACACTTAGTGGCCCACATGGAGGGGGAGGATTGGGTACATATGGAAATAGAACAAAAGTTACAAAACAGAGAAAGTGGAAGGTTGTTGATAGCATGATGGAAACACCGTATGAGATGCCACCATAAAGCGAAGGTCCAAAAAATAGTAAAGAAAAAAGGCGACCATAGATAATTGCGATTGACATGCAAAGTGCTGATGATAATTGTTCATAAAAACATACATAGCGTTCCCGAAATACTGCACAGCTGTCGCTGGGCTTGAGCCAAAACCACCTACGATTGGCAGAATGTGCATGATGTTCTGAGACCTGGGAACAGAGGCAAACTACTCTAATAAGCCACACCAATGACTGTGAGAGTGATTACCTGATGCCACACAACTTTTTTCGGTCTTAATAATTCTCCCTTTTTTTTGTGGCCGCTATAGTCGAGGGCACTGCATGAAGGTTGCTTCATGACTAGATCGGTAGTGACCCAGACCTACAATAGAGGCCCTACGCCGTTGTGATTTAGATTAAAAGAGAGAGGTGTAGGGCGTCCATGGAACCTGCTTGTTTGTTGTCATGGTTGGTGGGGAGTGTCCGCAATAGGAAGCCAGGAGTGTACATAGCGACAGTCAAATCTGTTTCAAGTACAAAAACATTGTACAAATGCTCCGAGCGTCATTCCGATGATGATCTGATCTATCAGTACCTGAATACAGCAAATCTGAGGAACAGCTTGAATGACAGGCAGTGGCAAGGAGCGAAGTGAGCACCGCATGTGCGTCAGATACTTCGACAGCCTAACCATCTGCGGTTTCCTTCTGGCCTATTCAATGTGCATGGAATGGTCATACAAATTCTGACAACATTGGAAACCACGTGCACTACATCCCCATACAAATACTGCACTGCTGTCGGCGCGGTTAAGCAAAAAACTGCCTACAGTGGGCAAAATGTGGCTGACGTTAGGAAACCGCAGAACTGAGGGAAGCTAGAGTAGTATACATAGCGACAGTGGAAGCTGTCTCAATACAAAAGCATGAAGGCTCATTCCAATGACGTATCATGTATTGGTCCGTCCATAGAGCAAATCTGAGGACCACCCTGAAGGACACCCTGTGGCCAAGAGGAAAAACAACAGCGTATGTGTGTGTATGTCAGATACTTGCGGAGCCTAGGTATATGCGGCTCACCACTGGCCTATTCAACACCCATGCAATCATCAAGTATCTGACATGAGACGATGGAAATTCTCAGAGCAGTCGTGTGAAGTTACGCAACCGCGCCCACTCAGATGTAGTTTTCATTAAAGCGCCCGTCCTCATCCTCGTATTGCATAGGCAGCAGCACCGGTATGTCGTCGTCGTTGCAGACACGTGCCATACCTTCGAACTCGTCCACCAGTCCCACTTCATCAACAAAAATAATCTGAGTGTGCATATCGCCCATGTATGGCGTGTGCTCTTGTTCCAGATCCCTGACCGGACACCACCATTGACCTGCGGTAATCTCCGAGCTCCTTATGGACATTCCTTCCACTGAACTTCTGCTCGAAAGCTGACAGAGAACCCACTGGTGGTTGTCGGTTCACATTGGAGAGCTTCAGAAGCTGCATTCGTACTTTCTTCCTCTGCTGCTGTCATGGGACTGCTGCCCCAACTTGAAGCCGCATTCCGGACAATGAGCTGGCCCATTTCTGATAAGACTTCTGGAGAAGAAGCAGCTCGACAATCAGATTGCGTAGGTCAGCTTTCTCTGCAGCAGTGTCCCCCCGCTCATCTGCTGAAGTGAGGAGGTTCTGTGCAAATATACTACTAAGTTGCACCAAATCTGCAGCCTGCTGCAAGCACAGTTTGTAATCTGTGGTGACAGACTGCTGGGCAAAGATCATCTCAGCAAGGCGTTTGTAATTCTTCTTCAACTGAAGCAACAGGTTGAACAAAGCTTCGATAGTGCTCTCCTCTTGAGGCTTCGTCAGCGGAAATTGCAAGTCTGCCTGCACCTCAGCCACAATTGCTCTGTACAAAGAAAAACTCTGCAAGCCACTGCAGACATCGCATTGCCCCAATCGCATCGTTCTTCGTCACTTCAAGCATGACGTTAGGCCGGGAGGTCCTGAACAGCGGATTTGCAAGGACCGTGAGGTCTCCACACGTATCTGAAATGGTGAGGAGCTTCCAGTTTTGGAGATTGAGACTCACCGCTTCCAACTCTTCAAGCTCTCCTCGAGAACCTCATTTTTTGTGGCGGTGAGGTGGACAACCGAGTCTCGCATGACTGCCATACTCTGTTGACGGAAATACCTCACCTGATCGCACACGTACCCATGTCGTGGCTCACGCACTTCATCATATTCCCAGTGGAATTTCATCTCGCGCTTACCATCCTTAGCAAGCGCCTTCTTGTCAGCAGTCCTTTCCTTATTACTCGTCTTCAGCAAGTATTCAAATTGATCAGGCAGTAGTTCAATGTTCATCAACAGGTTCTTGATGGCCTGCTCATGGTGTGTTTCCTGGTTGTCAAGGACGGTCTTCATGGCGTTCACTTCCTGGTGTTTGCAGAATAGTTAGTGCACCGTTTCATCGTAAGACCATCAGGCGTTCACTTCCTGGTGTTCGCAGAATAGTTAGTGCACCATTTCATCGTAAGACCATCACAGACTTGAGCTGTCATCTAACAGCTCGCCACACACCGCAAATATCTCGTGGTCTGCAGGCCTCTCTGTTTCGTGGGGATAAGGAGCGGCATGGCTAACGTCATAATATGAGAGGTAGCAATTTCGCAGCTCCAAGGGAACTGCTGGAATGAGCTTCCGCCATCCCGAACAAATAGAATTCTGGAACACGTGAATTCTGATGCCAGGGTGTGAACATTGACTGGAAGAAAGAGAAGAGTGAGAGTGAATGTGTATAGACGAACAGACATGCCACAGTATTGAACGCATAATGAAACACGGCACAAAGAGAGACACACCGCCCAACGCTCATGAAATTTGCTGGATGCAGAACACGTACCCGAAGCTCTCACAAAGTAATACGAAATGTTGACGCCCAAGAACAATGATAGGCGACAGCGGAATATCTTACGCTGAATGCTTTCACGTCTAATGCTCATAGAACTTTCTGCAATATGATATTTCTGGGGATATTTTTGTTCACTGTCTGATAGAACACAAAACGGACATTCTGTTGAGATATGTGGCCAGTTGTAATACCATACGACATCATGATGGAGAGAATGCATCAAAGACTGTTGATTGTCAGACAGGAGCCAGTCCAGAGGATTGAAGACAGGAAACTTGTTGATTTGAGTGGCGAGGTAGCAGATGAGTACAGAGTCTACAGATATATGGACTGATTGAGGAGGGCACACGCACAGTCCAAGGCAAAATATCCTGCAAGCCGGCCCATGGGTTGATGTGCTTCACTGGGGGGAAACCAATTCTGATATCCTGTGTGGCATGCGCCATTACGGTTGTAGGGGCTGTGGATTTCACAAACACAGGAATGGGGATCAGCAGCAAAGACTCGCACGAAAAGGATCAAAAGACCTGTCATGGATGTTTGTGCATCACAAATGTCAGGCAACCACGCAAGCAGTAATCGAAGTCGATGGAACTCAACAGCACACTCAATCTCAGCATGAGGGAACGTAACGGGAGGCTACATGATTATACGAACGACAGCATGGAACCAATGGACGGTATTCAAAACACAGCACGGAACACCAAACGAACGTAGTCCCTAGAACCCACCAAAAAGATGTCATTGACGAACGTGGACATCAACTACACCTAAAAAAAAACATAGAAGAAAAGTGGGACAGCACATGATGGTACGCAAGAAAACATGCAAGCGGAGCTCGTACAAAAAGGGACATAATGGAGTTCGATTGGCTGATCGGACAGCCTGATTCAATGGAATTGAAACAGCTGATAATGCACTTACATCCGGCTTGTACAGTACAGGCTGATGTCGGATAGCGAATCGAAAACTTGCACAGCCGAAGGGAAAAGGACTTCCAGACTACAGGCTAAGAGGCACTCGAAAATTGCGATGTAGTGCATACGGAGGACGACACAATTGACACCAAGCAAACAATTGAACAGCCTGATTGGAAAACAAACTTGTTCGTTCCAAAGTTCGAAACGGCGATGCAAAAGTTGCTGATTGAGCTAAAAAGGTAACTTACAGGTCAATCGCCAATGGAAAACTCGCACACCATTTAGGGAAGTTCAATCAGAAAAGAACCCGCAGGGAAAAGACCAACAGAGAAAGTACAGGCGAATCTGGAGTAGAAAACTTGGACATCATTGTTTCGCAAGCCAAATCACAAACAACTCTCTGAAGTACATGTGAACAGGCCCAACAGGGTATAACAAATGGCCATCAAGTTCATACGGCAAAGCACATAATCGACCCGAAAATGGCCATCGAACCATTTTTTTGGAAGCTGCTAGTAAGTACGTTACGGGATTTGGACTGGTATTCTCTCGAACACGGGTAGCCTTCTAGGTTTCTTTTCGCGAGTATAGGACTACTTAAGGATGAACTTTGGACTATTTGAGTCCTCCAATTCGCGACATTTGACCCCTGATGACGCTGGCTGGCGACCAGCCGAAACGCGGCGTAGGGTCGCGCTTGGCAGACGAGACTTTCACTACGCAGAATACTGACAATACTCGTCGGTAGTTTTTGTGATCATTGCAAGATGTCAGCCATGATGGGTTGCTGTTCACTCTATTTTTAAGATAACCCGTCAGGGTCGCGTTCGGGAGACTTGATGTGTCATTTCCATCTCTCTCTATCTATCCTTTTATACTCCTGGTCTGCCTCTCTTTACTTGCTTCCCAGCTACTCTAATGTGGATGATGGTGGTTCTGATTATATGATTTTTACGAACTGTGCTTTGTGTATGCTTGCCTTCGATTGAAGACAAAACCATACTCTCGTGTAAGTAACCACCGTAGGAATAGCACTACGGTATTGTGTGGCTGCACTAGCGTCAGGATGGCGACGCCGTTCGTAAGAATCTGCTATAATTGTGGACTTCCGGGGCATTTCTCATGAGAATGCCCGCATCCTCGAAGAGTACCAGCGACTGGGGCGAATGCTACTGCAGTGAGTGCTCCTATTCTGGCCTTGCCTGCTCCAACAGCGGTGCAGGTGGCTCCTGCGCAGCCGGTGCAGGCGTACACGTACCCAGCGGGAGGCTACAGCAAAGGACACTGGAGACAGACATTGGACAGATGTGTAGCATTCGTCGATAGAGCAGAGAAAAAGGCAGAAAGGGAGAAACAAGAGGCAGAGAATGAAAAGAGGAGGAAGGAGCAGCAGAAGGAACATGAAGACTTCGAAGCTAGGGTTGGAGAGCGTTTGGAAAGTAGATTGGTCGATTTGTATGGGGGTGTGCTGCCGGCGGTGGGGGAAACAATAGTAGCGACGGTTGGCGAAACAAGTGGCCAGAACAAAGAAAGCGAAGAGCTAGCAAGGTTGAGAAAAGAAAATGAGGAATATAGGAAGAAGTTAGAACGAGAGAGATCCAGCAGCGAAAGTCTGGTGGACAGGTTGCTGCGGGAGAACGAAGAACTGCGACGGAAGATCACGGCAACAAGAGATTCGCTGGAAAACGGTACGAGTACTTTGATGAAGGAAATGCAGGAGCTGCGAGCAGGACGTGACAAGGATAAAGAGCTCCTTGTAGGACTGAAGACCGAGGTGGGGCTGCTAAGAAAGGAGAAGGAACAATCAGCGGAAGAAGCGCAAATATGGATGAACGAAGCGCTAAGGCCTGGAAATAAGAGGGATGCATCTCGATGACAACGTCGGAAATGGAGAATCGAAACCGGTCGAGGATGCGTATCGTGGAATCGCCATCCGGTGAACTGCATGAAGAGATGAGAAAGATGAGGGACATGGAGCGGTGTACTCTGCGCGAGGTAGAGGTGCTGAAACAGAGGAAAGCTGACGAAGAAAGGAAGAGGCTGGAAGCGGAAAAAAAGAAGCTGGATGCAGAGGCAGAGGTAACAAAACTGAGGGAGCGGATCGAGAAACTGATGATGGAAACATCGGGGATACCGACTGGCGGGACGAACTTGAAAGGACAACTGGAGGCGGCTGCTGATGTGGGTGGCAGCGCGAGCAAAACTGTGAGACGGGGGAGACACAGATTGACACCTAGAAGAACAGAGGGTGAAGAGGGGTCAGCAGTAGACGTGAACAATAGATTTACCTTTGTGCAGATTGAGAGGAAGAGACTGCGGGCGTTAAAAAAGTACGGACTGGAAACCCTGTGCAAGCAGGAGGGAATTGCCTACAAAACGGTGGAGACGACTGTGGATGAAATTGCGGAAATAAGGGCCGACGCGAGATTCGGCAGGAAGGACAAGGGAACTGCGAAGAAAGCAGCAGAGCGAAACGGGAAGGAGACAGGCAGCGAACCATCCTCCAGTCAAGGCGAAAAAGAAACAAGCACGGAGGTGGAGGATGTTCCATCAGATTCAGCTTAATGGGACGTCCCGAACGTGGCTGTTTGTTGGGAACAAGCTCGCGGAATCAGAGATGCATGTGAAGATGGTGTACAGAGTAATGAAGCAGAAAGGCAATATCGGGAGTTGGTGCTGACCCTGATCTTGAAAGGAGAAATACCATGGGCGAACAAAATTGTCGACTTTCTTTTTTTTTTTTTTTTTTTTGAAAAAACAACCCAGGTGAATGCTAGTGATGCTGATAAGAGCAAACACCACTAGCATGCCCGGGGAGGCTCCATCTATTGGTGGAGAGCAGCACCTGCTGGAAATCGGGCCCAGCGTCCCTTGAAGTGCGAAAGGAAGATCTGGTTGACTATCAAGGACCGCTGGTGTATGTACTGATATCACCATCGGTGAAGTATATGTATGTGGGAGCGACGACGCGATCCCTTGGGGTAAGATGGAAGGAGCATCCATTCCGGGTAAGGAATCGCAATATTGTAGATTCTGGGAGAAGGAATGAGCGTTTATATAGGTGGATAAGGAGGTGTGGGGTGGGAAAGTATGTAGCACTTCCGCTGATCCACTGTACGAAAGATGACCTGTTGGAGCTCGAGAGGTTTGTAATTCGACAGTTTTGTCCGCATTTGAACAGTAGGGACAAACCTCGGAAATGCCGAAAACGGAGGTCAGGGAAGAGGGAAAGACGCAAACGGAACCGTCGGAGGAATGCGGAAGGAAGGAAGGGTGGACGTAACTACCATCTGACTCTTAAAACAGCGGATGGAGTGGTCTCAACAAGTTTGATCCGGCTGCTGAACGAGAAGTGGCAGCAGGGTGCGCGTGTGGTGGAAATCGAGTGCGAGGGAGGTGACTTGCTGGTGAATCAGTGGAAGCTGGATAAAAGGTGTTATGGGTCATCCGAGGTTAGCAGCTGCTTTGGGAAAACGCAGTTGCGGAAAGCGCGAGGATGGCTAAGAAATGGTATAACGATCAAATTTAGCTCGGTAATCTCGTTTTCCTCTTCACTATCTGTCTTTAAACCGATCCTCGTCAGATGTTTGAGTTGTCCTCCATCCAGGAAAGATCTGTTGAACTGGAATCTAGAACAGTTGGTTTGGCTGTTCAGTGTTGTCCGTTCGTTTTCAGAAAAGCGTACGAGGTATACGCTGAGATGTATTCTGTCTAGAGTAGTTCGAAGGAGATTTGGAATAAATGTACGGGAAAGACTGACGGTAAGAATCGAGTATGATGAGTCATTGTGTAAAGTGGAAATTTGAAGGGTGTGTGCAGAATTGGTAGGACAGTTGGGATTGCCGGAATCTTGGAGACTGATGTTTGTACGTCGGATAAGGGTTGTTTTTGGGAAGCATCGGAGTATTGGGGATCTGATGTACGATTTTAGGCATGCCGCTAAGAAGGAAAAGGCGGAATGTGGTTGTGTGGGGATGGAGGAGAGTTTGACTCGGGTCGATGCGCATGTGTGTTTTAGGATGAGTGAAGCGAGCTTCGTGCCTGATTGGTTGAAAAACGCTCGCAATATTCCGAAACCGACGCATGCATGCTCAAAGCGTAATCTCAGGAAGCAATTGGTCGAGGGATTTGGATCCCTACTGAATTACTGTCAACTGACAAAAAAGGAGTTCGAAGGGAAGATTCCTGATTGGATGATTGAAAAGTGCTTCAACAAGATTAAGGGTGAGTACTGTGGAGGCTGCGATGTCGCAGAGGTGCGTGGATGGAGAGATCGACTAGATGGGTTAGTATGTTGCCCAGTAGACCACAATCCAGGGGATTCAATGGTGTGTTGCCCCCTAGTTTATCGGGAAGGGATGGAGAAGATGTTCGTAAAGAACCCAGGGTTTGAGTTGTGTGACCAGACGGAGGAGGAACTGAATGCTAGCAATGGTCGAAGCTTCAACAGCCTGGGATTAACGAAACTGGGTAAGTGGAATCCGAAGGGTCGATGCTACGTCATCCCCAAACATAAAGACATCCGGAAGTGGAGACCGATCTGCCCAACGTTCGAGGAATGTGGGGTGAAAGCCAGCAAGCGCCTGGCCAGGGCCATCAACAGAATGCTGTGGGACCTTCCTCCGAGAAGCAACTTCAACATGAGAAGCACGGAGGAGCTGATTGACAGAATTTTGGAGGCGAATGAGGAACTAAAGGAGGGGGAGGGCTTTATTACTGCAGCATTCGATATTAAGGAAATGTTATGTAACTTGCCACACGATGCTGTAATCGAAGCGGTACGATGGGTGGTTGATTTTTGGATGCTAAAAGGATGTAAGGGTGTGTTGGTGCAGGAGAGGGGAAGGGGGGCAAAAATGAGGGTAGGAAAGGGGCAAATTGGCTGGCTCAGCATTGACTTCGATGATATCATTCACTTCGTGGAATTTGAGCTGCGACGCACTTACGTGAGTGCATGTGGGCGCATTCTGAGGCAGCATATAGGTATACCAATGTGTAAGCCTTCAAGCCCCACGCTCGCCTGCCTGCTGTTGGCATATTCGGAGTTCAAATTCTTGAACTCTCTCGGCCAAATGAGGGTGCTTACTTACGGAGCACGCATTATGGACGATGTATCCATTTTTGTCCGATATGTGAAGAAGGAGATTGGGTCAGAAGACAGAGCTAAGGGAGTGCTAAACGCCTTTGAAAAGTGTTACCATTGTGACCTTACTTTGGAAAGAACTCACGAGGGACCGCATTGGGATTTCCTGGGCTCGGTGGTGACCGTGAGGGAATGGCCGGATGGGATAATGTGCGCGGCAACTCATAAGAACCAAGGGGTGGTAAGGACAGGGAGGTTGATGTTTCAGAATTTGCACGATTACTGTTCCTACTCTTGTAGGCAACAAAAAGTTGGCCGTTGTAAGTTCCTTCCTGTATAGGGCAAAGAGATTCACAAGATGAAGGGAGCAGAGGTTGTCTTTTTGCTGACGTTAAAGATAGAGTTGCGATTGAGGGGATTTCCGGATGAGTATTTTGACACGGCGTTGAGGAACTTCTCAAGCAAGTTTGGTGGTTTTTGGGACGGATGGGTGACCTGTCTCACGGGAAGGGTGAACAAAAAGAGGGTTAGTATAACGTATCTGGGTAGGAGTTATAACCCTTTGTTGGTACAAGGGTCCCTGTTGCGGCTTCGCTCGCAAAAAAAAATGGAGGGCAAAAAGCAAAAACGTCAAAGGGGGGATTTGTGGGGTGGGTGGGGGGAGATTTGGCTCACCTGTGTACTCCTGTTGACTCAGTGGATGAATTGCTGCTGGAGGTCAGAAAGCCTTGGTAAAACTGTCTTTCTTTTCTGTTTTTTTCTTTTGCTTTCTACATTTGCACGGGAGTTACCTCCGAGAGACCTGTTGAGGCTGAAGGGTTTGGTGGGTTCGCGGGGGGGG